CCGCGGCCCTGTGCGCACACCGGGGCGGTCTGGGGACGGGGCGGCGGCGCGCGAGGGCCGGCGTTTTTCCAGTAGTCCCCGCAGGGGTGGCTGATGTGCTGCTCCGTGGAGAGGCTGGCTCTCGCACCGCACCGAAGGCAGTCGTTTTGCAGGAGTTTTCATTCCCGTTTTGCACCGGGTTTAGAGGCATCCCCTGGTTTTGGCTCTTGCGTTGCCCACACAGGTATTTGCCCACCACTTTCTTCCCGAGACTGGAGCTGTTTTTGTTTCTTTTGCGTTTTTGTTCGGTTTTGCTTTTCTTTTTTGTATTTTTATTACAAAGGCGGCTTGCAAGCCCGTACCTTTAAAGGTAACTTTGAAAATGTCAGCGTTCAAAACGAAGGGAAAACTTCATCTGACCTTTTTCCCACTTGCCATTTCCACGGGCGTGGGGTGTTTTCCCCCTCGTGCTCAGCTCCCTGGCCCCGCTGCAGGGTTCGTTAGAGGCCGGGCGGCGCAGGCAGAGCGCCCCGGCCGGCCCTCGTGGCAGCAGCCAGCCGGGGAGGGCGGCTCAGAGCGCGCTGCCCGTCACGGCCGCAGCGCAGTGCAGCGCGCGCCGGTCCTGCCTCTCAGCCCTGTGTTGGGGCTCCCCGGTCAGCCCCAGGGCGCGTGGGGAGCTGCTGAGACACACGAGCCTTTTGACACGCCGCTATCCTGTTTTTTTTAACCTTAGGGCGCTGAGACAGAGGTTGACCAGCGCTCTGCAGCCCCTTTTCCCCAAAGCCTCTTCAGGATGAGTAACTTTTCTCAAGACTCTCTGGTTCCGGGACAGAAAAAGGCTGTTTCCCTCCTTGGGAAAGGGCTACCAAGGCCAGGCAGGAGCCGCTGCGGTGGCCACGGCCTCCCTCGGCACGGGCGCAGTGCGAGCGGCGACCAGGTTTGCTCCCAGTCCTGTTCTGTAGGTGGTAGAAGGCGAGCAGGCCCCTTCCCCGGCGACTGCTGGTCCGTGCTGCCATCTCGTGGGGCAGCGCTCCGAAACCAGGGCCTGCCTTGAGGCCCGGGGAAAGCGCTCCTAGGAGAGGCTTTTCCGTGAGGCGGCGCTTGGCGACGGCAAGCAGTATCGGCAAGCAGACCCGCTCTGGAGAGCTGGGGTAACGCTTTGGGTCAGGTCAGCAAATTTATGAATAAAAAAAAAAGAAGACTGCAGGCTACTTATCCTCCAGTTATTATTTTTTTTTATAAAAACTTAACCTTTTAGTTGTCCACTTTTGGTTATGAGTCCCACTCCCTCCCACCATCTCTTCAGTACATGGTGATTGCTAGTGATATAAATAATATATATATATATATTCTATAAATATATATGGCATATCCGCTGACATCCAGGAAAGCCCTTGTTCCCGTCTGGGGATCGCTGTGGGAGGCAGCCCCCTCACCTGGTTTTGTTCAGTTCTTTTGTGTTGTGTTCTTGCAGAGGTCAGTGCGTAGGGTAAATCCGCCCTTGGTTTCTGATCAGTTTTCCAAACGCGTCTGATCCCCTGTGCCCTGCCAAGCAGTGCGGGACCCGAGCGAGCGCTTTCGGGGTGAATCTTGGAGGTTTTGAGGCAGTTAGTTAGGGTCTCTTAGGGCAGTTATCCGGGGAGACCGAGGCTTTTTTCCATATCCCTGGCAGAAATGCAGACACTCGTGAGACATGTTGGAGTCTGGGCTGCGGACTGAGCAGAACATGTCTGTCACTTGGGTTTCTCGCTATTTCTGTTGCTTACATATAGAATAAATGTATTTACATGCTGTAAGCCCGTCATTGTGGACAGTGTCCTAATGTCTTGTATTGCTACCTGCAATAGTTTATTTTCGGTTCTCCTTTTTTTCTTGTTTTTTGGGGCGGGGGGAGGCATGGGGAAGGGAGGGATGGGGACCGTTAGACCCTTGTATCTGTAGCCAAGTAGTTCCCACAGCACCAAGGTTAGTTTTAAACGAGGTGACACCCGTGAGGTTTTTGTCCGTCTTGTGTCCAGGGCACTTGTGTAACGTGTCTGAGCGAGGGCCTTTCGGCCTCCCTGCGAGGTCGGCTCGGCAGGAAGCGGCAGCGGGAGAACGGGCCTGGAGCCAGAACCGGACTGGGGTCCAGGCCGCAGAAAGGAGCCCGCGAGGTGGGTCCGGCTGGCGCCGCTCTCCTCGCTCGCCCACCCTTTCTGCCTGGTACTTGTCCCTGGAATCCCCTTACGTGGGAGCCCTTGGATCAGCTCTGCCTGCGTGACAGTAAAGCAAAAAAGACCACAAGGAAACACGAAGAACCCCCAGCCGCGACCGCGCGCGGGCCCTGCACGTCCGCGCGCCCCAGGCCAGATCCGCGGAGCAGAGCTTCGGCCTCAGGCGCTGTCCTGGGGAGG